ACAAGTCTCATTGGTTTCACCATTGATACCATTTATTTTTGGCCTGTATAAATGGCAGAATGTCATTTATGTTTGTTCAATTGCTGTATGATCGTATTACTTTAATATGCTAACAATTGCTTTTTCAACATAAAATAGCCAGACAGCAAATCATGGAGCTGCAACTCAATATATAAAGCATGGATCAAGATCTAGGCATTGCAGCGTCTCAGAAACTACTGACCTGCTAGTATTTTCATGCACAACAATCTGTGATTTTGAGACAATTGTACAGCAAAAAACGCATCCAATGATGTGCAGAGAGAATATAGGTATGTTGAAGCTGGCATGAGAGGTCCACAATTGCTCAGAATCTTCGCACATATTGGGCACTTTAACCACTTGACTACCAAGCACTTTTACCCTCTCCCGGCCCAGGCCAATTTTCAGCTTTCAGCACTGTTGCACTTTGAATGACAAATGCGCGGTCATGCAACACTGTACCCATATCAAATTTTTTATCTTTTTTTCATACAAATTGAGCTTTCTTTTGGTGATATTTAATTGCCACTGGGTTTTTTTTTTTTTATTTTTTGCATTATAAACGAAAAAAAAAAAAAGAGCCAAAAATGTGAAAAAAAAAGGTTTTCTTTGTTTCTGTTATAAAATTTGCAAACCGGTAAATTTTCCTCTACACTGATATGCATTGATGAGGCGGCACTGATAAGCAGCACTAATGAGGCGGCACTGGTGGGAATTGATGAGGAAGCACTGATGCTGCTGCACTGATGGGCACTTTTGGGGCTGCACTGATAATCAGGGCACTGATAATCAGTGCAGATGTCCTCTGTGACACTTGCAGGTTATTGGCAGTACTTTCCTCACGTTGTGACAGAGTGAGGAAAGTGCTGACGATAACCGGCAACTGCATTTACTTTGTGACCAGCTGTGTCATTGGACACAGCTGATCACGTGGTAAAAGACCGCTGTGATTGGACTTTTACACGCGATCAGCAGTGTCCATAGGACACAGCGATCACAGACAGTGCTGGGTGTGCGCCATGGGGGGTGCGTTCTGGGAGGACATCATATGATGTCCTCCCAGAACTGGACAACCACGCTGTAGCTGTTATTCGGCTATAGCCCAGTTGTCAAGTGGTTAAACTATACTTAAAGTCAAAATTTTTCCCTATTTGTATAAGTCATGAAAAGCTAAAAACTTCTGTCATGTTTTATTTTTTTTGGGTTGTCTGCATCCCATTGAAGAGTTTCCATGTACTTCTTGTCCTGCTGTCCACAGAGGAAGTAAGAGGAAATTTCTCTAAAGTTCAGGAAATTCCTTTAGGCAGTTGTGACTAAAACAAGTGGCCAAATTGGAAGGTTTCTTCTCTCCTCCTGTTCTTATAACAATTAAAAATTTTAGATATTCCCTCACTTTCAGTGCTAGTGACAGTGGAGCTTTAATATGGCAATGACATGTCAGAGGGTACAGGCTTCAAGGATGGTATTCTGATCTTGTGGAGTCATTGACCTGCAACAAGCATGTTCATAACAGATTGCCTATGAAGAACTAGGTTTAAAAGGAGTAGAAATAATGCAATGACTCACTGAAAGTAAAAGGAATAACATTATTGCCCCAGAATTTGCAACTCCACAATTAAGTCAGCAATGGCAGCTTCCATATACAGTCAGGTTCCATGTTAAATCCAATAGCCTAAAAACTCTGTTTCTTTTTAACTCACCTGTCCTTTTTTAGGAGGTCTTCTGCAATGGCCATGCTAAACGGCCTCTTCTTGTTGTCAAACAGACCAAACTCGTATGACACATCATTTCCACTGGACACGTTATTGTGGGAAGCTGGAGTGGCTGGGACAAAGGCGCCAGATACATTGAAGTCCACCTCTGAAGGTCAAAAAGTCAACAGATGATGCAATGGGCAACAGGTAAACAGTAAACTGATCAATCAGGCAAATATCAAATATATAATTATAACAATTTTGTGCCAGCAGTTCTGATTCTGTAAGGCAGAATACCTAAATAGCCAGCCTAAAGGGAAGGGTCAAAGGTTATTGTCTGCAGACCTGCTTTGTATGGCTAGGTATTATTTAAATAGTCAGTGTGCTTGAAGTGTCCTTTTCATGTAGCCAAAAATTCAAAAAGAACCCAGAATTACAGAGCAAATAAGGTGTATGGTATTTATTAGGGTTGCACCGATACCAATATTGAGTAATTGTACTCATGCAAATGCTACCTTTGCAGTGTGATTTGTGCCCATACAAAATTAAAGGGCTCAAATCACACTGCAAAGAATTGCATACGATGTGAACAGGAATGCAGTGCGATTCCTGTCCAAATCACATGCGGTTTTCCGCATAGCTCCTGTGTGAGCCCAGGTTTGTCATAGTGACTTGGAGCCTGAGTTCACACAGAAATGAGAGACAAAACTTGCCAGCATGACTGGTTCCACCAGAGTAGCTCCGACTCCCGTTCTGACTGTAGACAATCAGTGGCTGCGGCCTGGGTTCCTCCTGCCTCTCCCATGGCTTTGTTCCACACTTTTCCCTCCCTCCAGCGGTTCAAGACACCCACTGGACCCCCTCCCCATCCCCTCCGGTCCCTCTATACCAGATTGTCGCAATCCCCCACTGTCAAACACTGAAAGCCACTTCACGACTCCAAAGATTTGAAATCCCGACGGCTTTATCTTCTCTCTTTGCAGTGCTGACCGTATGAGCTAGAAGGCTTCTGATTGGCCAGCGCTGTCCATGTGATGGTGGTGACCAATTAGAATCCCTGTAAGCCATATTGGCTAAGTAATACAGACAGGAGATTAAGCAGCAGGGGTTTCAAATCTCTGGAACAGTGAAGCGGCTTTTCATTCTCTGACAGCGGGGGATCCCGGTAATGTGGTACAGCGGGACCGGGGGGAATGGGTCCCACGGATGATTCGAACTACTGGACACTGGGGTGAGAGAGCCGCTGGAGATGCGAGGAACAAAGTCATGGGAGAGGCAGGAGGAGCCTAAGCCGCAGCCGCTGATGTCCGCAGTCGGATCGGGAGCCCGAGATTCAGTGGTGGAACTCGTCATGCAAAGAGGTTTGCAGCACCACTCCTGTGTGAACTCAGGCTCAAAGACACTATGACAAACCTTTGTTCACACAGGAGCAGTGCGGGAAACCCCATGTGATTCGGACAGGTATCGCACCTCATTCCTGTTCAAATAACATGCAATTCTTTGCAGTGCGATTTGTGCCCCTTCATTTTGTAAATCGCACCCCAAAGGTATCGGTACTCGGTATCGGCGAGTACTTCACTGAAAAGATCAGTACTCATTGGTTAAAAAAATGGTATTGACGCAACTTCAGCATTTTTACAACTTTGTTTGATATTTTAGTAGGGAACTTTCGCCAACAGCTTTGTAAAAGATATATTACAAAAAGATAAGATAAAATATGTTACAGACTAGCTATTTATGTGTAAAACACACGATTAACTGGGAAATAGCAAAAATGTAGCACTCAAAAATGGTGACAGCCCCCATCTAAACCAAACATGAACCAAAGTCAGGCAACCCACAATGGAGGATAGGCAGTGCAGCCCTATTCGAATCAGGGAAATCCAATACTAAAACACAAAAAGGTGCAAACGCCTAGTGCATTATCTAAAGGCCCTTAATTCTAAAGACCATTAAAATTATACTCACAAGCCCAGTAGGCTGAAAGCATATAAGCACAGGCGTGAATGAAGTACATTCGTCCGCTATTCCATCCTAGCAGGTAAATGGATGACAAAGCCGTGTGATGCATTTCAGAGAAACTAGCACCCTTCTTCAGAGCTAAGCTTTGAGGAAGGGGGCCAGTTTCTCCGAAACTCGTTAGCTGGCTGTCATCCATTTACTTGCTGTAATGGAATAGTGGATGAATGCACTTCATGCTTACAGCCTACTGGGCTTGTGAGTATAATTTTAATGGATTTTAGAATAATGCGCCTTAAGATAATGCACTAGGCCAGTGGTCGGCAAGCCGCGGCTCACGAGCCACATGCGGCTCCTTACACGCTTTAATGCGGCTCTTGTGTGCCGGGCGCCCGCTCCCCTCCCTCCTCTTGGGCAGCAGGGACTCTGCAGCGTGATCCAAAAAAAAAACAGCCAGGGCAGCGCGCTCAAATGCAATGATTGGCCAGTCTCGCTGCCACTCACATCCTGATAGCCAGTGATTGGCTGTCAGGATGTGTGTAGGCGGGGCAGCGTGACGAACGTGAGAGGAGCTAGGCTCCTCTCACAGTCCGCCCTGAAGACCGGAACGGCGCGGGAACACGGCGAGAGGAACGCGCGGAGCAAAGGTAAGTGAATTGACACAGGGGGGACTTGGCTTACTACTTGCTACTTACTTACTACTACTATATGAGGGATGAATTACTATGGGGGATGAATTACTATATGAGGGATGAATTACTATGGGGGATGAATTACTATATGAGGGATGAATTAATATGGGGGATGAATTACTATAGGGGGGATGAATTACTATAGGGGATGAATTACTATATGGGGGATGAATTACTATAGGGGATGAATTACTATATGGGGGATGAATTACTATATGGGGGATGAATTACTATAAAAACCTATTGAAACTAAAAACAGTGTACCATCCTATGTATTTTCAGTTTTAAAAATGTGGCTCTCAAAATAAATTTCAATCGTGGTTTTGGCGAGATTTGGCTCAGTTGAAAAAAAAAAAGGTTGCCCACCACTGCACTAGGCGATTGTGCCCTTTTTGTTTACACTATATACTGAGCCTCATTGCCTAACATCAGCAGATGTCTATCACCTTACCTTCAGGGAAAAACCAGTCTGCATGTTGTATGATAGGCTCAATGATTGTCACCACATGGACTGAAGTTGCGGCTGCTATTTCTGCCAGTGTTCTGCAAAAAATAAAAATAAAAAAATAAAATGGATTTTTAACCATCTGCAGTATAGTTCTTTTTGCTCTACTTTTGGACTGACGATAAATAAGCCTGCACTATCAAATATTTAAAATGTATTCTGTCTGTGTCATACAGGCTATTTTATCTGGGAAAAATGTAATTCAGCACATCTCTGCAATATACTGTATATGCACATTTCCCCAGGTTTTGTCTCCTTAAAAATATGCAAGTACAGAAAAATACCTGGGGATCCTGCAAGAATTCCAGCGTTCCAACTTTCTGGGCCATTTGTTTGTACTGCACCTCTCAGCCATACTTAAAATGGTTGTAGCGGCTGAAGGTTTTTTACCTTCATGCATTTTATGAATGAAGGTAAAAAACCTTCAATGTTCAGCTTTCCCCTCAGCCCCCTTAACCCTAGGTTCACATCTGTGCGGGTGGTGCCGCTGCGGATGCGCACGAAAATCCATGCAGCCGCACTACCCAGAGAAATGCGGACCCAAGGATGGGTGCCATTAGATCTAATGGCACGCTGCCCCGCAGTGGAAAACGCAACCATACTGAACCGAGGTTCCTGTGCGGGCTACGTTTTCCAAAGAAGTGCAGGGACTTCTTTCCCTGCGTGCCATGGGTACGGGAGTCCATTCAAATGAATGGGCTCTCGTGCCCGTGCAAAACGCGGCCCGCAAGGCCGCATAGATGTGAACCGGGGGTTATACTTACCTGAACCCGATTTCCATCCAGCAATGTGCATGAGAGCAGAAGCTCTCCCAGGTCTCTGCCTCCTGGCATAGACACAACAGTGGGAGCAAAATCATTGAACAGAGCAGGCAAGTATGACCTGTTTGGTATATTAAAAAAAAAAGTTGCCTTTAACAATGCTTTCATTTATATCAATGAAAATGTGTTTTATATAATTAATCCAAAAATTAATAAATAAAATATAACACCTGTTTGAATTGTTTTTTGGTGTGGCACTAAAGAGTGGTACACACACTTTATTTTCACTGTTTGATCACGTTTTTTCACATTTTCTCACTGTTTTTTTCACGGATTCACTATATATGAAGCTGATAAATTTATTTAAAAAGATAATGCACTATGTGAATTTTTCTTTTTTTGAGGTGGATTCGGTGGAAGAATTGGCTTGATTGATCTCCTTTTTTTCTTTGATTGATTTTTGTGGATTTTTATTGATTAGATATCCTTTTGGACTTTATATATAGTAGTGGACTATATATATTTTTTATGAAAACATTGAGGGATTAAGTTGAATATTGGGTGATATATTTAGGAATTGAACTCACGTGTTATATTTTATTTATTAATTTTTGGATTAATTATATAAAACACATTTTCATTGATATAATTTGGTACACCTTTAGGGAAGGGTGTTGATTTGTGTTGTAGGGGAGTCACAATAATTGGAGGTGGGTATTGTATAATAATGCTTTCATTTAACTCAGCGAAGTACAGAACACCTCCCGGCTATGTTATGTAGATGAGGAAAGGCGTAGAGGAATAAGGTGTAATAAGGGCTCATTAGGTCTAGGCATATAGAAATAAGGTGTAATACTTACTTTCCTCCTCACTCTGGCAAGAGTGTAACCAGTCCCCCGAAGTCTCCTCTGTAGTGCACTCCAGCCTACAGTCACACACTGACATCACGCACAGCGTGGCAGGGATTGCCAGAGGCGCGCACAGCGTGGCGAAGATTGCCAGGAGCGCGCACAGCGTGGCGAAGATTGCCAGGAGCGCGCACAGCGTGGCGAAGATTGCCAGGAGCGCGCACAGCGTGGCGAAGATTGCCAGGAGCGCGCACAGCGTGGCGAAGATTGCCAGGAGCGCGCACAGCGTGGCGAAGATTGCCAGGAGCGCGCACAGCGTGGCGAAGATTGCCAGGAGCGCGCACAGCGTGGCGAAGATTGCCAGGAGCGCGCACAGCGTGGCGAAGATTGCCAGGAGCGCGCACAGCGTGGCGAAGATTGCCAGGAGCGCGCACAGCGTGGCGAAGATTGCCAGGAGCGCGCACAGCGTGGCGAAGATTGCCAGGAGCGCGCACAGCGTGGCGAAGATTGCCAGGAGCGCGCACAGCGTGGCGAAGATTGCCAGGAGCGCGCACAGCGTGGCGAAGATTGCCAGGAGCGCGCACAGCGCGGCGAAGATTGCCAGGAGCGCGCACAGCGTGGCGAAGATTGCCAGGAGCGCGCACAGCGTGGCGAAGATTGCCAGGAGCACGCACAGCGCGGCGAAGATTGCCAGGAGCATGCACAGTGCGGTGATTGCCAGGAGCATGCACAGTGTGGTGGAGTTTTCCCCGAATCCTCCTGGGATGTGTGATGTGGTATCCCAAGAGGCTGGGAGCAGCTGGTCATGCTCACCTAGGTGAAAAAGCAGAAAGTGCAAGGCCAGGCCACGGTATTTTAAAACAAAAGAAATAATAAAAGTAAAAAAAGGGAGGGTAGGATTAAAAATATGTCAAAAGGGCTGCTTTAAAACAGACAATTAGCCTTTAAGATAAAACAGAATTCTAACTGACAGGGGCCCTTTTTTGCCAGTCAGAAAACAAAGGGTAAATCTACCAAAGATTTTATTACAGTGCCTTGAATACTTTTTCAAGGCACTTTATGTAATTGAGGAGGTGCATAATGTAATGAATATCTGAAAAGTCACTGAAAGATGAAATTACACCAGCGGTTGGGGAAGCACTCCACCAAATCAAGGCAAACATTACACACAAAACTCATACAGCCATGAAAAAAGTTGGTGGGAATCTTTTGCAAAGAAATATTACACAGTGAGGGGAACACACAAATTATATGTATGGTAACAGATGTGGGTAAGCTGATACACACAGCAATAGTGCGGCTTGCGGAAGATTAGAGGGAGCATAAGTAGACGAGGCAAGATGGAAAACCACAAGCCTGGAAACAGCAAACTGACACCCAAACCACAGCGGAATACATTCCTCTCCTGCTGCCACAACACTCCCTTTCATAAGGAACGCTTCCTCACTCCCAAATCTGCCTTTGCTTTGCGAACATAAAATGTTATAAAACTGAACTCCAGGCATATATAAAGACAAAAACACACCAATTAATGCCATTTATGTATGCATTAAAAAAATCTTGTTTGTATTTTTCTGTTTCAATCTTTTTTTTTTTATTGAAAGTTTTCAAAGTTACAATGAATTGATAAATACAGGAATGTAGACAACAATTTACATGTCTAAAATTGTAAAATTGGCATCAGATGCAGATAAACATCCGTCAAGGAAGTATTAATTTTGACCACAGACTCAAGCAACGAATCATAAAAGTATCTATAGATAACATGGAGGGGAAAGTCCAGTGGAACATTAGTGGCAATAGGTAAGCATGGGCTCTGGGGAGCTATTTTACAAGGGACTAGATTTTTTTTTTTTCCCTTTTAAAAAAATAATCATGTCATACTTACCTGCTGTGTGCAATGGTTTTGCACAGAGGAGCCCCGATCCTCCACTTCTGGGGCCCCAAGCTGGTGCTCCTGGCTCCACCTCTTCAGGGAGTGCCCACATAGAAACCCTCTTCCTATAGGAAAACTCCCGCAGGCTTGCTCCCAAGCTGCACTGCCTGCATCTATAGACACAGACAGCGTGGCTCGACCCCACCCCCCTGCTCACATAATTTGATTGACAGCAGCAAGAGCCAATGGCTGCCACTGCTATCAATCTGTCCTGTAAAGAAGGAGAGAGCCACTGCTCTCGGGCATGTCGCTGGATCGAGATCAAACTCATGTATAAGGGGGGTTATGGGGGGATCCTGAGGCACAGAAGGTATTTAACGTTAATGAAGAGAATGCATTAAAAGGTACAAAAAAAAATCCTTAAGTCTTTAGAACTACTTTAAGGCCTAGGAATATTGTTGGGTGTATGTGTCTGGAGCCAACCACTCCATGCAAAAGAACAAAGATAGATTAGGGGAAAAGAACAAAGCAAGATGGCAAATAGGAAGGGTATCTCGTTGACTCTGGGAAAATGGTAGGGGGAAAAAAGGGGGTAGAGCTGGGGTTAGACCCTCTGGCTGCATCACAACCTCAGAAAGGATTTTCACGTCAGAGGATTAACAATGTACAACCTAACTCAGCAGGAAGGTAATAGACTATTCATGGAGTCTACTGTAGATCATTTCAAACTTGTGAACTGAGTCATTGAGCATTTCAGACATTTTTTTGTTAATTAGGAGCCGATTAATTTTGCTTTTTACTTACAGTGCTCAGCATAAATGAGTCCACCCCTTTTGAAAAGTAAGATTTTAATCAATATCTCAATGAACACAAGAACAATTTCCAACATTTTCACAATACTGAGTTTTATGCAACATTTGTTTGGCTCACTACATGAAAGTACAGTTAATAATATAACTTAGATTACAAAATCTTCAATTTTACTCAAATTAGTTTAAAAATCAGAAATTAATCCACCCCAAAACAAAAACTACTACATCTAGTGTTTGTATGACCTCCATGATTTGTAAGGGCAGCACCAAGTCTTCTAGGCATGGAATGAACAAGTTGGCGACATATAGCAACATCGATCTTTTTCCATTCTTCAAGAACGACCTCTTTTAGAGCCTGGATGCTGGATGGAGAGTGATGCTCAACTTGTCTCTTCAGAATTCCCCATAGGTGTTCGATTGGGTTCAGATCAGGAGACATACCTGGCCACTGAATCTCTTTCGCCCTGTTCTTCTTCAGAAATCCAACAGTGGCCTTGGATGTGTGTTTTTGATCATTGTCATGTTGGAAAAGTACACAACGACCAAGGACCATGGAGTGATAGTAGCATCTTCTCTTTCAATATAGAGAATTACATCTGTGAATTCATGATACCATCAATGAAATGCAGCTCCTCGACACCAGCAGCACTCATGCAGCCCCACAGAAGGACACTGCCACCACCATGTTTCACTGTAGGCACCATACATTTTTCTTTGTACTCCTCACCTTTGCGGTGCCATACTGTTTTGAAGCCATCAGTTCCAAAACCATTTATCTTGGTCTCATCACTCCAGAGTCCCAGTAGTCTTCTTTTTCAGCATGGGCCCTGGCAAATTCTATACAGGCTTTTTTGTGCATGGGCTTTAGGAGAGGCTTCCTTCATGGATGACACCAATGTATGCCATTCCTCTGCAGTGTAAACCGTATTGTGCCATGGGAAACAATCACCCCAGTTTGGCTTTCTACTTCTTTAGCTAACTGCAGTGAACTTTCATGGTGATTTTCTTTAACCCTTCTCATGAGAAGACGCTCCTGTTGAGGTGTTAACTTCCATGAACGGCCTGGACGTCTCTGTGAGATGGTTGCAGTTCCATCTGTGTTAAACGTTTGTATCGCTTTTGCCACAGTATTCTGACTGATAAGTAAAGCTTTGCTCATCTTCTAGCCTTCACCTTTTTGTGTAAAGAAATTTTTTTGCTTTCCCAGGCCTTGTGACATTTCTCTTCCATGTGGTGCTATTGCTAACAGCATGAAATGGGAAGGGGTTTTCTTTAAGTAATGCCCTTTTATAATCAACTGTTTGCTGGGCACTTGTTTAACAAGAATTCAACTACAGGCGAGTCTATTTATTAATTAGGATTTTGTTGTCTAAAGGCCGGTGAACACTAAAGAAATGCAGTCCAGATGCGTTCCTGAATGTGAGGTTTTAGGTGCGTTCTGGTGCATTTTTGACGACTTACAGTTCCATTTTTTTCCTCTCTTTTTCTTCAGTTTAAACAGGGACATGTGCGTTCTTGTTGCATTTCGGTGTGTTTTACTGCGTTCCAGTACAGTTCTTTGCAGGAAAAATCCAGCCTGTTATACTCTTTTCTGCATCCGGAACGCACTGGAACTGCAAGCACTGATGTGAACTATGACACTGACAACCATATAACCTACTTTGTGCGTTTTGGATGCACACTGAAATGCATGTAGTGTGAACTGGCCCTAAAATTTAGCTTTGCTCCTAAGACTTTCATTGGGGTGTATTCATTTTAGCAACATGATCTTGAATGAATTTGTTAGGAAAAATACTTTGTGTGTGCAAATTAAAAAATCTTGTTTGCAATCAATGGTCCGCGTTTTTGGGAGTGTTTTGTAGTATAGTGTCCCATAGAAAATGTTGATTCTGAAAGGAAAGTAAAGAATTTCTGACAAATCTGTTGGGGTGTACTCATTTATGCTGAGCACTGTATACAGTTGTAGGAATTGAAGAGCACTGTTCTTTGGCAAGAACGAATTTGAACACAATAGTTAGCAGGTGAAATTGATATTCATACCATAATGGCTTCTTATGGGTTAGCCAAGTCCAGGGGCGGACTGAAAACTCATGGGGCCCCTGGGCAATAGGAAATCATGGGACCCCTGTGTCCTTGCCCACACTCAAACCACACCCAAAAAAGCCTATGAAAGGTACCAGGGGCATCTCATGGGGCTCCCTACTGAACCCGGGCCCACGGACAGTGCCCGAGTGGCTAAATGGTCAGTCCGCCCCTGGCCAAGTCAGAGATTTTAACAAGTTTGTATGCCAATTGGTAGACATTGGTCCGGTATCAATTGATTTTAGGGCATTTCCACCTAATATGGGTAGAAAAAAAAAAAAAAGTTTTTAAAATAAAAAGACACAAAGACGCGCTTATCTACAAGCACACTTTTAGGGCCTTTCAAAACAGCGCACACACTACTCATACCTGCTCTGTACAACATGCGGCTGTTGATGTGCATTATGGGGTGGTGCGATGCGTTGTTACAACACATTCCATGGTTTACCTTATTTTTACTTTGTTGAAATGTCACAAAATTACATTTTATTCAACTTTTTGTAACGCAGTGTAGCGCATCACAACACTGTGCTGTTTAAAAATGTAACCTGTCCTACTTTTTTCCACGCACACCAATGCAGCACAAAATAAAACTTGTTTACGCGTTGGGCAACACAGTCCAATGGGGCTGGTCTGAACAAGCCTTTAAAATGCAGTTCTTCATTTTCAGCCCTAGATGGAGCAGGAATCAACACAATTGTTTTTTTTTAAGGCAAACTGTCTGACCCAGTTCTCAACTATGGGCTATTGTGCCAACGGTAAAAGAAAGCTGAGAGGTAACCTTTAGCACAAAAAGGAATTACATAGCAGGAAATCTGTCCCGGAGCTGAAGGCACACAGTACTCACCCTTCATGCTTCGCCCACAGCAAGTTAGGACCCAACACAATGGCTATATTGCTTGGAGTCATCTTGTTCACATCGCTGTAGTGACTGAGCTTGGCCAAGAACTTCACCAGATACCTAAACAGTAAAAAAAAAAAAAAAAAGAAAAGAAAAAAAACTGATGTCTAAAATGAGCCCCCAAGATAGTAATACAGACAGCAATAAAAACCTGCCACAGGTTCAAACCTTTCCATACTGTACCAAGAACTACAAAAGTGTTGGTCAGAGTTGTACTTTAGTCCCGGTTCAAGATACTGTGGTGCAGGAAACTCCATGTTTCAGATGGGAATTGAATCGCATTCTTGTTCAAATCACATGTGATTCTTTGCAGTGCGATTTGAGCCATTCATTTTGTATGGCTCAAATAGCACCGCATCCTGCAGGCTTTTTTTTCTCCGCACTGGAATCAGAGGGCATGGGTGTTCACACCTATGCATCTTATTCAGCCAATCGCACTGCGTTTTGCAAACAGTTTTTGGGGTGTCGTTAACATAGATACCCGCAGTGGTTTGCATGAACGGAGTGCGATAGTGACAGTATACGCACAGGAATCGCTGCAAATCCCGCACCGCATCAGTGTTAACCGGCACTAAACAACTGCAAATCATGGTGCTGCAGTACCTGCAACTCCTGGGTCTTGTATGGCTACACAAAGACATAAAAGCAGCAGCCTCCCCAACACACAAGATTTTTAAGACAAACCTAGATGATCACTTTATATCACGTTTATTCTCTTAGATATGAGCTATGATCTTGGAACCTAGAGAACAGCAAAGATTCCTACCTGAAGTTTTCATAGTTAGGTTTCGGTAATTTCTGGCACACAACCCACAAGTTCTGAAGTTTGGTGTTCTGGTCCGGTACACTGCAGAAAGAAAGACACAATGTTTGGCCAGCGATATTCTTCTATACTCCTCACATAGGTGCTGGCATATATAGGAGAGACCAAAAGAATATGGACTGGTGACATTACTAATATGGACAGCTGAACTCTGGGCATATACAATAGAAACAAACTAATGCAGCTGTGTAATCAATACATCTTTAAAGTGGAAGAAAAGCCTAAATAACTATTCTTAAGAAATTGATAAATGTATAATATACCTCCTGCGCTATTAAATCCCCTATCGCTAAGCAGCTAGCACTTGAAATGCCACAACCCAGGCACACAATACAATGTAATATAAACAGCTATTAATAGTGCAGCGCTATAACTTGTAAAAAACGTATACACATATATATAAATCATGCAATATTTGTGATGCCCCTATCATGGGGTATTTCTGTGTCCACTCTCAGTGCTGTGAGAAATAATATACAGTGAAATCCACACACTATATCGGACTCTTGAATGATTCTTATGTGCTCCACACTAAGTGCAAACAAACGGGGTGTCAATCCACAGTGACAGGGGTGCCCCCTCACCTTCCTGCCCAGGCCCCTCAGGACCAATGAGCCAAATGATGCCTTATTATTCCTCCACAGACCGTCAGATCCTCCTCAGCAGTAATGGTGGGACCCTTTCTTTAGTAATGGCATTTAGAAACCTCTCCAAATACGTTCCCTCCTCTACTGCCACGTCCACCAACGTCTCCAATCTCTTTCTTTTGGAGACGTTGGTGGACGTGGCAGTAGAGGAGGGAATGTATTTGGAGAGGTTCTAAATGCCATTACTTTGTTTGCACTTAGTGTGGAGCACATAAGAGTCATTCAAGAGTCCGATATAGTGTGTGGATTTCACTGTATATTATTTCTCACAGCACTGAGAGTGGACACAGAAATACCCCATGATAGGGGCATCACAAATATTGCATGTTTTTATATATATGTGTATAAGTTTTTTACAAGTTTAGCGCTGCACTATTAATAGCTGTTTATATTCTTAAGAAATGCTCTCTCCTCCTAACTATACTGCATACCCTGAATAAAAAAGAAAAAAAAGAAAAAAAGGTGTGTGTATCTAACCAAGTTTATTCTATTCCAGACCGGTCACATGATCCTGCAGCTTTGGCTCTCCCATATCTGTGAGCAGCTGCTGCAGGGGAGAGGAGGGAATGCCCACAAAGGAGAGCCATAGCTTCAGATCATGTGATCTTTCTTATACAGAGTAGGAAAGCTAGACAGGAGAGAGGGAGGTTTTTTTAAAAAAAAGTTGGTGTTTGGCTTTACTAACACTTTAATTGTATTCTTTAAATGCAAGCAGTTTAAATACCAGAATTGTACCCAATATCAACTTTTTATAATCCATATACAGCAGAGCTTCAGAGGTAGAGGAAGAAGCAGCACAAAGAGCTAATTAGTCCATATGCCGATAAGAAGCATGCAAATAGTGACCGAGAGACAAGCTCATCACTGTGCTGCTTTTCCTTTCACTGTCCAAGACAACCAGGGTTCAGGGGACGTGGGTTAAAGTGGAACTATGGTCAGAAAATGTCCTGCTAGATCACTGCACGCTGGCCCCTTTTGCAGGCATAGCAATGTAAAACATTAAAAATAAGTGCCTATACTGTTTAAAATCCAGTAATACACTGTCGTATCCTTCTCTGCACATGCTCAGTTAAGCTCTATTTTTTGGCACTGTGCTGAATTTGTAGAGCCCGATCTGCTCTGGGCTTCAGCAAAATGGCAGCCTTCAGCAACAAGAAACAGGAACAATGCTGGAGGCAATTTATAGCAAAAACACTGATTCTGGTAGAATAATTAATCACGTAGAATGAATGTTCTTTGCTAAAGTACATTTTTTTTTTTATCAAGTTGTTATGGGTAAAGCTCCACTTTAAATAATGCTAGCCACCAGACTGAGGACATCTAATAGCCAAAAAAAAAAAAAAAGTCCTGTGGGGAAATCCCTGGATTAAAAGGTGAATACTGCAGAAAAAGCAGGTTTTGTTTTGTTAATCCTTTAATGGGCTATTTTTTTATCTTGATCATTTTGTTTAGAGTTCTGCTTTAATTTTCTAACCGCCAGCAAAATATGATGCCTACTACGGACAATACCAATGACTTTTTATAACTATGAATACATCTGCTCCATTGTGAGCTGAAGGTGAGATCTTGCCCATTGAAAATTGTCTAGTTTGTTCAAATAAGGTCAAATGTGAAATCACTTTTTTAATTCTTTCTTGAAGCAACCTCTTCTACAGCAGAGCAGATACACAGTAGCAACAAAAAGGAAAGCAAATGTCTAAAGTCCAACTACAGTAAATAGAATTTGAGTGTAAGACTTGCTTCATTGGGGTAGATTTACTAAAACTGGAGGGTGCAAAGTCTGGTGCAGCTCTGCATAGAAACCAATCAGCTTCCAGGTTTTATTGTCAAAGCTTAACTGAACAAGCTGAAGTTGGAAGCTGATTGGCTACCATGCACAGCTGCACCATGTTTTGCACTCTCCAGTTTTAGTGAATCAACCCCATTGTGTCCACTGTTAGGCCCAGAGTTAAATCAGTCAAGTTGCTCTTACTTCCCAGCAGCAATCCATTCATCATACAAGCTGAAGGTCATCAGGGGTTCTGGCAACTCACGCAGATAAGACTTTAAGGCACCTTCAGGAAAAAATACAGGCTATTTAACATTAAAGGAATATTATACAGTTATGACGCATACAACAATTTTATTTTTCTAGGGGTGTGCTTTAAAGTAAAATTATCCTCTTCAGCATCCTGGGATCCTTGAATCCTGTGACATTAAAATATTGTGTTCCCAGGTAGAGAGCTTGACTCCCATCTCTTCCCACCTCTTACTATGCAACCTGGACTCACCATCACAGTGATGGATATGAAAAAAATAAAAAATTAAAAAGACTGCCTTCTTGATTTTTTTTCGGATGATCTTGATAGGCACACATATTTTGGTAAAGATACATACTCCTTGACTTAATATAAGGCTACTATAGATCCGCAATCTCCTCCTATGTAGATTTACCTGGTTCTGTCTCATGCTGACCTTCCAACGAATTCAGGGTATACTACTCCTAGATAAGTTATTGCAGGGCTTCAAAATTCCACTCGCCTGCTCGCCAATGGCGAGTGGAAATTATGGTGGGGGGGGGGGGGGGGGGGGGGGGGGGGGGGGGGGGAGTGTCCCCCCCCCAGGGCCGTCTTGCTGACCAGGCTCAGAGCTCAGGCCAGATCTGTCATTGGCACTGGTAGCCGTCAGACTGCTCAATAGCTGAGTGCAGTGAAAGCAAAGCAAGGAGTGTGTGCTGTGCTCTCTGCCTCCCCCTTGAGTGCAGTACCTGGATCTGTGAGTGAACAACAAAGTACTGCAACTTTTTATGGGGGGGGGGGGGTGATGTATGTGTGTGTGTACGTGTACATGTGTGTGTTTGTGTGTGTCTGCATGCATGTACAATTGTACATGTGTCTGTACATGTGTGTATCTGTGCATGTGTCTGTGTGTGTCTGCATGTGTCTATGTATGTATGTACATGTGTTTGTGCATGTGTATTTCTGTGTGTGTACATGTATCTGTGTGTATGCATGTCTGTACGTGCCTGTGTGTGTATACATGTGTCTGTATGTGTGTGTGAGTACGTGTCTCTGTGTGTGTGTGTACATGTCTGTGTGTGTGTGTACATGTCTGTGTGTGTGTGTACAGGTGTCTCTGTTTGTGTGTGTTTGTTGGTGGCGAGTAACTCTAAGGCCTTGCTAGTAGCTCAGGACTTGAAATTTTAAGCCCTGAGTTAGAGATCCTTGCCCTCACAAGAGCCCCTTACCCAAAACCGCAATTAGGAATAGCCTTTCCTCTACTTTATTCAGGAGGTAATCCCTTGCAGATCCCATTCTCGCATCTTGTTATTGATTGTGAATTTCGTACAAATTGTATCATCTAAAACAGTGTGCCTTTCTACCCGACTTGATCATTGCAATCCTTTTGTTATCTCCTCTATGTTGTATTTTTGATTTGTTTTGTCTTTTTGATCCTAATAAACAATATGGAATAAAAAAAAAAAAAAGGCTTAGGAAACGAGGAAAGGCAAGACTTTCCACCCAGGAAGCTCATTGTAAATACAAATCTGCTCTGATGCCAGAGGCAGTTCATGGGACTATTTCACTTCCAGTTTGCTTTAAAGAAAACTCTAGACCCCAAGCAAAATCATTAGTAAAGCATTAATCCTCTCCACAAAACACTGCAACCGGGTGAAAATCTGAACATTCTGTTCAGTTCAAGCTTCTTTTAATCTGCTGTACCGAGAAATAGCTTGTTACTAATGGGTGTTGTAAAACCTATCAGAGGTGTCTGTAGTGGGCAATCTCCTTCTCTTGCCGAACTGTATCTGGACAATGCTTTAGCAAACCTACAGAGAGCATAGTGGCCTGTATTTTCATAAGGGTCATCAGAAGGTTTTAAACAATTAACAGATGTATGCGAAAAGCTGCGGTCGCTGAGTCTGTATTAATGCAATGACTGGCTTGTCAGTGGCCACAGCTATTCATAACTGTTCGCACCGCCTACATTTGCCTGTGGCCGGACGCACTTTGTCTGCATTGCACAGGGCTCAGCAGCTGCAGCTACTTGTGCACATCTGTCAAGTCCAACTGCAGGAATCCGCAGAAATCACAGCACGTGTCACTGATTGTCAGGTACAAATGACAACAGTCAGGAAAAAAATTAAGGCTGCTTGCTGGGTAGGCTGTGTCTCCACAATTAATTGTAAAATGTGATTCCCCAGCTCACCTGCTACAGCGTGTGGGTCTGAATAAAACTCCTCTAGCTGGGAGGTGGAACAGTCCAGAGCTGCTTTCAGCTTCTTCAGTTTGGAGGCTCCAGCCGCAATCCTGAACAATCCCTGTCACAGAAACAGATGTGATGATTAATAAGATTTTAGTTATTGCTTACCAATGTCCTACTCTAGCACCCAGCTACATCTTGATACCCCTAGAGGAGTTGGTTATCTTATTGCTTTGGAAAATAATTGATGGACAGCCAATAAGTTCTGAGTGAGTCTGATCTGCGTAGTCTGATTTGCGTAGTGTTTCCACTGTCACCATATTTGAAACAACTGAACAGTAAAATATTTAGATCGTTGTTCGACTGATGAGCTTACAAATGCAATTATTGCACGTCTACAGGCAGTATGTGACCCCCGCTGGCAACCCAGCCCACAATTATCAGGGGAATAATTTACTGGTTGAGATTTACCCCAGTTATTGGTAATATTCCCCCATCAGACTTGCTCTAGGGTTGTTTGCTCTCTAAAATAAACATGGACACAAAGCGGAAACAACTGTGGTATGTTTATATAACAACCGTTTTATGGATTGACTCAATCACCATCTAATGTCTACGGGCAGATAAACTGCCAATTACAATTTACCATGCAGCAACAAGCAAATTGTCAGACTGATGTTCAGTGAAGGGAATGCTGTAATGAGATGTCAGGAATTGTCTACCTCCTCCTTCATCCCCGTTTCAAGCAGCATCATCACACAGGCTTCTATGGGAAGTGCGATCTCCCGTGAGCTCCGCTTCAAGTGTTCTTCTAAAGCCGTCCCAAATGCTGGCTTCTCCGTCCACTTGTCTGAAACAAGAAGAATCACATGATAAGGAAACATTTTAACAGCCAGAAGTGGAAAAGCAAAGAGTGGAGTAAAAGAAAAGAATTGTCAAAATCAGACAGAAATGCCCTGAACCTAAATCTGTCCGGAATGAGATGGCTAAAGGCCTACACTGCCGCAACCTGAGGAATACAGCCACCCACATAGGTTAATCTGTGCCAATAGTATAATGCGGGCCATAGATCGGCCGAATTTTCGTCCGCACGAAAAATCGTCCGATATTCACGCCGTTAGTGGGGCCAGCCTATCGGCCGTTTTTCACGGATCTTCACATTTATTTTTATCGGTCATGCTGGAAAATCCACGAAAACCGGACATTTTTCATGGACATTGGTGGCAGCATCGGCAATGGGCTGACCAATTTTTCGTTTATAGGCCGAAATGTGGCCGCTAAACGGCCCGTCTATGGCCTGCATAAGTCTTTTTGGAATTCAGCACCATGAAGTTCCTCCCCTCTATACACATATTGATGTGGTCTGTCAGATCAGCAGTAAAATGCAAGGTCTGCTAATGTCTGGAACCTATTTCACTGTAAACATCACTAGCAGGGGCGGACTGACCATTTGGAAACTCAGGCACTGCCCGAGGGCCCGGGGTCAGTAGGGGGCCCCATTTCCCTGTAAACGTCACTACTCACTAGCTTAGTATGTGCAAACCTTTCTTGTAAAGAAAAAAGGATAGATTGACATTTATCTTACCCTCGTCTTCTTCATCACTGGGTATGACATTGCTGTCCTTCCAGGGAGTTCGCCGATGGAAGGCAGTGTAAGGCAAATCTCTCTAGGACACGGGTGTCAAACTGGCGGCCCTCCAGCTGATGCTAAACTACAAGTCCCATCATGCCTCTACCTTTGGGAGTCATGCTTGTAACGGTCAATCCTGCAATGCTTCATGGGACTTGTAGTTTACTAACAGCTGGAGGGCCTCCAGTTTGACACCCGTGCTCTAGAGGATATGGCTGTTCACTGGTAGAGTAGCTTTTTGCGAGATTTAGGCTGCTCTATATTCCCCAGGATCTCGCTGGCAGAAGTACGATGTCACTTTCGCCAAAGCGCCGCAGACAAAAAATGCGGCAAGTTAAGTAAAAAAAATCAAACTCCTTTTCTTTACAGGTACCTTTTGCACATACTGGGAACTAGTGATATTTAAAAGGGGAGAGGGTCCAGATATTATAAGCACATCTTGCTTCTTTTTTATGGAATGCTTCATGAATTTGCGTGTCATCTTTATGCAGGAGCCATGCTAGTCATCTTTGTATCGTTCCAATTTTGGTATATGTCCTGCTGAAGCAAGGACCGCATCTTGCTTCTAGTGCAAGGTCCACTTTAAAGAAAACGGGTCATGAATGAGAATTTGTAAGAATCTAAATGTTCACTTGTAATTAGTTCTAATAGTGCAGCCTTTCCTCTCAGGGATAGCTGTGTGTACTGGTATTTATTTGTATTCCATCCCAATCACGGTACAAAATGTCAGCTCTAAGTCTGTCTGTGTCTCCCATTAAAGCTGACCTGAGTCTTGTTGGAGCTCAGGTCTGATAACTTTGTCTGGGTTGTTGGATAAAAAAAAAAAGAAGGTTCCTTCATAAACCTTTACTATATGACTATTTTTTGAGTGTCTTTTATCGGCACTGAACTCAAGCAGAAAATGGGATATCCTTACAACTTGACAGTCAGCATAACAAGGAAGGAATACAAATAAATAACAAAAAATGTTAACTTCTTCCTTGCAAGTAAAAGTTTTGGTTACTATTAAAATTCAAAAAATGCAGATTTGTTTTTTTTTATTTTTTTTTTTTTTTTTTTTTTGGTTTTTTTTTTTTTTTTATGATTACCCACTGGTGAGGGTGACTTGGGGTGTAAAGAATTACATATTTGTAATAAAAGACGCTCTTTACCAGCCTTTCTCAAAAGTTGCTAGGGGTTCCTTGAGCAAACTCCACCTAAACACTAACACCAATTATCCTTTTAGCGATCAGTAATGAGGGCATTCCTCCCGTTAACCACCAATGTAGGAAGCATTTTTCCCAATGATTACCACACTAATGTACCTGGAGCTGTAGATGTAGTAATTATTGGCAGGGGCTCCTTGAGACCTGAAAGCTATTTTAAGGGCTCCTCTGTGCTAAAAAGTTCGAGTAAAGCTGCACTACAAGTGGCTCATTTGCTGAAACACCACCTCTTCGGTGCTACAGAAGGAACCATTGCATGTGGTGGGGTACAGTATTTGACCCATCTGGCTGGTTGACCATCCACAGTGGGCATCCAGTAGCAAAGAGGCCACAAATGGCCCAGCAGAAAGGTAAGTATAGAGTCTCTTATTACAGGTATGATATGTAATTCCTAACACGTGACCCTGGGACACTTTAAGGTTTGTTTGAAAGTGTTTTTTATAACAGGGAAACCCCCCCCCCCCCCCCCCCAAATCCCAGGCGTTCTATGAATAGAGGCTTCAACTTACCAGACTAACCAGCTCTAACAGTGCCTTAACCTTCTACTTACACACCAGTCAGAGCACTTTAACTGGCTCTTGAGGCAGCAACCTTGACATAGCTCGGGGTGTCTGTCTGAATTAGAGGGGCTCCAGGAGTACACAGAAAGGCTTCTTAGGCAGATCAAAGATGTAAGATGCCAAATCTGGTGCAGTACAGTTAGTTTAAAGCGGAATTCCACTCAACCTATCAAAAAATCAAAGTCAGCAGCTACAAAAACTGTAGTTGCTGACTTTTAAAAAAACAGCCCCTTACCTGTCCCTTGGTCCTGCGGTGTCCCCCCCACAGCTCGTTTCACCGGCCATCCTGTATTCCAGGAAGCCGGCATTTTAGTGTGGGCATCCGGATGTGATAGCTTGCGGCTTCACAGCCGGGTACCCGCTGCGCTTCATGAATGGTCCTGTAGTCTTCTAGGACCTGTCACGTGTCCCAAAAGACTACAAGGAGGGAGGACACGAGGCGATCGGACCGGAAATGGGAGCGGGTACCTGTAAAATTCGGGTACCCGCTCCCCTCCGCCCCCCAAAGGTGTCAATCCTTAATAGGGAGCGGGGGAGCAGTCCTTAAAGTGGAACTTCCCTTTTGGATGGAGCTCTGCTTTAAGATCACACTGACATCCCCAAATTGAACAGTAACCCTACTTGGGTACATTTTATAGAAAAACAACCTTTAACAAAGATATGTTCAGCAAGAATAAAAAAAAAAAATTCTATAAAACAGTTTATAACAGTAAGATGGCGTTTATGTTAAAATCAGAAAGCTGGCAGAAGAACACTAGCAGAGCAGTGGTGACACTGCGGAGTGACAGTTAAGCAGGAAATGGAAGTCAGCAAGGGGTTTTAGACACTGCCCCCTGTAGGCTGCAGACAGAAGCACACACAAGGCACTGTGTAAGAAGACAAGGTCAGAGTTGGGAGCAGTGCAAGAAAGCCAGGGGGGTGTTTGCATTTCATTACCTTGCTGGGCCTGGATTTCGGGCAGTGCCTTTTCTAAGACAGCTAGTGCTTTTCTATGGTAATCTGCTTGTGCCTCTAATAACTGAAGACAGAACCCAACACAGAAAACAAAGCCACAATGAGTACACAAGGAAGGTGAGACACATCATGAGCATGTGTGTGCAAATGGCATGGTAAACTGACAATGGCAAAATCCAATGTGATGGAAAAAATAATCAGTGAAATATAAATGCTGGGACTTATTTTCATACAGCTAACAGTGATGTACAGTAACCAATAGCAAGCCACCACATTTTCCTAATTTACAAAAGTCAGAACAATGGCAAATTAAATATGTATGCTATGGGTTACTGCAGTCGGCAAGGGCCAGCATGAAAATTGCTGACAGATATCTAGAAAGACTTGTTGACAATTGGTAAAAGGAAGTCTGGAGTCTTGTAGACTACACGGGGCTGAAGACTCTCTCCCCACCCTGCAGCAGAGTTCAATGCATCTGCCTCCCACCAGTCTCAGAAGCGAAGGAGCCTTGAGCCAGCATAGCCAAACCCCAAAAACAAAACTGAAATATAGTGCAGCTTAACAGTCCTTAGAAGTGGTGGCTGCATTTGTTTACTTTTTTTCTCCTCTCTTTCACCTATCAATCTTTTTAGAAACACATTTCCTATCCCAGGGTGAAAATGCTTACCCACTGTACTGCATCTATGGAGCAATCACATTGTCATCCTGGGCTGCACTTCTGACTTGGACTACAAACCCCTCTCCCTCTTTTTTCCCCATTACATAGGATATGTGTTTTGCAGTTCACATACAGATAGAATGAGAATGATAATGGTTTTATATCAAGATCTATAAGTATTTTTTCTGTTGTTGCAAAAAATTTATTTTGCCTGACAAAAAAAGAAAATTGATGCGGCCACCATATTTAAAAATGGTTGTAAAGGCTTGAGGTTTCTACCTTCATTCTGCATTCTATGCATGAAAGTAAAAAATATTCTGTGTGCAGCAGCCCCTCAATACTTACCTGAGCCCCATCGCAACCCAGCCATGTGCACGAGAGCTTTGGCTCCTTGGGGACTTTCTCTCCTCACTGGCTGAGACAGCAGTGGGAGTCATTGGCTCCCACTGCTGTCAATCACAACCTGTAAGCCAATGAGGAGGGGGGGGGGGGGGGAAGACACAGCTCTGTATGTGAATGGACATGCAAAGCAGCAGTTCAGGAGCAAGCCTGCTTGGGTGCCCCCAAAGCAATCAGCTTGCTCAGATTCTCAGATTCCCCGCCGCTGCTCCGGGCTCTCCCTTCTGCCAAGTGGCAGAAGGGAGGGCCAGGAGCGCCAGTGCGGGATCTAAGAGTAGGATTGGGGCTGCTCTGTGCAAAACCATTACACATAGCAGGTAGGTATGACATGTTTGTTTGTTTTTTTTTTTTCTTAATTACTTTTAACAGCTTCCGCGCCACCCCTATAGCAGAAATACTGCTACAGGGTGGTATGGGCATGCAAAATCATGTATACATACAAGTGATTTTGCATTTCCGGCTACGGGGCGCGCGCGCGAGCTGCACCGCCATTTGTGGCCGCAGCTGTCAATCACCGGGTCCTGACCAGTGATTATTCGCCGTCGCCTGGTGATTTCCGACGATCTCTGACAGGGAGGAGAACGGTTTTGTTTACTTTCAGTGAAGCACATTGACTCCGCCCCCTATGTAAAACACTCCCAGCACACAGTTAACCCCTTTCTGCCCAGTGCCATTAGTACAGTGTCAGTGCTTTTTTTTTTGTCACTGGGGATGTCAGTCAATTCCCCCCAGTGTCAGAATGCCTGCGGCAGTCCTGTTATAAGTTGCTGATCCCCGCCATCACTAGTAAAAATAAAAAAAAACTCCAGTATCTATACCGCCATTTGTAAACACTAACACTTTCACGTAAACCAATTTATTTACACGTATTGGGATTTTTTTTTTTTTTTAGCAAAGACACGTCGCAGAATGCATTTTGGCCTAAATTTATGCCGAAATTTGATTTTTAAATTTTTTTTTACTGGACATGTTAAATAGCAAAAAGTCAAAAATATTGTTTTTTTTTTCTCAAAATTGTCAGTTTTTTTTTGTAGCGCAAAAAAAAAAAAAAAACCGCACAGACGATCAAATACCACATACCAAGAAAGCTCAATTTGTGGGGGGGGGGGAAAAAAAGACGTAAATTTTATTTGGGTGCAGCGTTGCATGATGAGCAATTGTCAGGTAAAGTAACGCAGTGCCTAACGCAGTGCCATAACGCAACAAATGGCCTGGTCAAAAAGGGGGGGGGGGGGGGGGGGGGGGGGAAATCCTCAGGAGGGCAAGTGGTTAATATCACTAAGGACTGGTAAGCTGCAATATAATAAAAGTGTTGTTCTTCGGTTAAGAACCAGAGCACAAAATGCAGGCATGGACAGGTAAGTATGCCTCTTCTTTTCTAAGTTTTTTTTTTTTTTAATAGACAGTCACTTGGGAAGGAAAACCTTTTCTGGAGATAAATCACTCTCTCACTAGAACTTAACTTTTTATTTTCTTATGAACTATATCTGCTTTCAGCTGTTTGTAGGTAGTTTTCTACTACAAATTTACCATCTCCATCTTTTTTACAACTACATATTTTTAATTGGACAGGGCAATCTGTACTCTGAGAGAAAATGATCTTGTATTTAAAAAGCAAACATAAATGAATGCATATATATAAAAGCATGTGAGTAGATGTATTTTTTACACAGTGCTCCCGATTCAGCCCAAAAGGTTTGCTTTTTTGGTACTGTACATCTTGTGCTCATCTGTATCTTTTGACTTTTATATGTATACCTTGCATAGCACAAAAGCTTCTTATTTTTTTCCTTGGTCCTTAGCAGCATGAAAAGAATTGTCATTCTGTGTGTACATTTGCGGTAAAAATGTGGACATACAGTATTTAACCATTCCTAGTCTAAAGAGAAAAAATATCCAACTTACCGAGACAAATAACTGACCATACTCCCCCTCTTTGGAAACAAAATTGTACATATCGGCTGCTAGCTGATCCTGGGGAGGGGAAGACAAAGATCGATCTGAATTATTAGTCCTGTTCAACCACTCTTTAGTTCCTGTATATAGAAACTATTCTTTCCTTCTCCTGACCCTTTCTTCCAAAAACATTCACATATATGACTTGCCAGCACAAACAGAAATGACTGCTGTACACCCAATGTTACGCTTATGAAGGTATAAATGTTACTAATGAGTAAACCCCTTGCCGGCAGTCTCTGCCGTACGCACACCTTGCATTGTTCCACTTTGTTGGCTGCCTCATCCAGCTCTTCTTTCAGAGAGTCCATTTTGCCAGGCTGCATCTGGAAATTCGTGGTGGAAGATTTTTGGGTCTGGTTATACCTGTGGATACAAAAATTTGCAGAATAATTAAGGAGCAGCAGTTTGCAGTATATGGTACATTGCATTTATTTTACAACGGGTGAATAGAGTGTCAGGATAATTATATAGTTCATTATTTTTTATATAAAGTGTAGGGATAAATGCAGTGGGAAGGGACCATTGCACTGGAGGCGGGTGAATGGTGAGTCGAGATAAGCATCGTGAAGGGCGAAGTAGAGAGTGGAAGTGTACAAAAGGGGGCAGGGATCAGTGCAGTAATACGATGTTGGGATTAGTACAATATAACATAACCACTTAGTTCACTGAAACGAGAAAGTATAAGTGCACTGCAACAGCTTAAAACCGGCCATAGATGGATCGAATCTCGGCTGGTTCAGCAAGGACTAGCCGAGATTCGATCCATCTATGGGCAGGCTGATTGTACCAAAGTTGATCCATCGTCTGACTTTGGTACAATCAGCATGTCGGATTTTCAGCATGTGATTATTGCCAGCGGCTATAGCCGTTAGCAATAATCACCATGTGCTTCCAGGAGGGACGGCTTCCCCTGCCAGGAAAAACAATAGCTCCATGGGAGGCTTTCCCACATCAACACTATGTTGATGGGGAAATCTAGTGATTTTCTTTCCTGCAACCCTTGCATAATGTATGACCTGCCTTAGGGATGAAAGATGCAATATTAAAAAAAAGAAAGAAAATGTCAATACATCAATAGGAAAGTGCACAATCAGTGCACTATCATACAAGAGCACCAGGGCTCAGGGTAGTAAAAGAAAAATGATTGAGGAGTCAGCATAGTAATATAAGACATTAAGATGATATGATAAAGTGTGGATCAGTGCAGTACAGAGAGCAGGGATCAACAGATCAGGAATCGGCAGACGACAGAGTAGTGATCGGATCAGCACAGAAAGGGAGCAGGGTTCTGTGCAGCAGGGTGCAGGGATCCGCGCAACACAGAGAAAGGGGGCAGGGACTCGTGCAGCACAGACAACAGGGACCTATGCAGCACAGCGAGCAGGGAACCGGGCAGCACAGCGAGCAGGGATCCGGGCAGCACAGCGAGCAGGGATCCGGGCAGCACAGCGAGCAGGGATCCGGGCAGCACAGCGAGCAGGGATCCGGGCAGCACAGCGAGCAGGGATCCGGGCAGCACAGCGAGCAGGGATCCGGGCAGCACAGCGAGCAGGGATCCGGGCAGCACAGCGAGCAGGGATCCGGGCAGCACAGCGAGCAGGGATCCGGGCAGCACAGCGAGCAGGGATCCGGGCAGCACAGCGAGCAGGGATCCGGGCAGCACAGCGAGCAGGGATCCGGGCAGCACAGCGAGCAGGGTTCCGGGCAGCACAGAGGGTGGGGATCTGTGCACTATTGCAAATGAGAAGAGATTGCTAAAGTAATATGAAAAGCATTTAGTGGCCAATAGAGTAATAGGTGAGAAAGGGAATAACGCATAGCATAAATATTTAGGAACCCCTGCATTATGAGAAAGTAGTAAAATTCTGAAGAAGGTGCACATGAAGTAGGACAGAGTTGTAAGCACTTCCACTGAGTCTTATTTTCTCACCTTGCTCGTGCAGAATCCCAATCTAACACCAGCCTGGCCAGCTGCTTCCTCTGCTTCTGAATGTTAGGAATTTCTACCTGTGGGGACAATTGAAAAGGTGCATGGTTGCTAAACTGCAAAAAAAATGGTAAGAAAGACAGATGAATGGGACTCAACAGGAAATGGATGAATGTTGTACCTCAGTCAGCTGGTTTAGGGGTTCCAGAAAGTCTTTCTCAATCTGGATCTCATTGTAGGAGAGCTCCTGGGCCAGCCGCTGCTCTGCCTCTGCACATGAGCACAACGTCTTCCTGTAAACCAGAGCAGCTTGGTTATGCTATATCCTCATTACATAGACAGAGGGAAATAGACTGCCCTAAAGAAGAACTCAGTGCAAAATGGTTCTTTCCAGTTTATGCAAGTTATGTTCCCCTTACGTGTCTTGGCTGCTCTCCGGTAGAACTCTGGTAAGGCTGAGCCAAACTGAATTGTACAGCATTTTTGTGTCCCTCCTCCCTCTACATTGGAACCTATGGTTCAGCAGGTAACATCAGACTGGCTAAAAAGCCTTGCCTGTCACATGTAGGCTGGAAATGAGGCAAAATCTCCCAGTAGGGTCCTGGAAAGCTGTATCTTCACACTTTGGTACCAAGCCAACTGAACTCAAACCATCTGAACTCAAACCATCACCGAGATCTTATGCTATTCCACTTTAATGTCCAAGCTATAACTGCACAATTATATCATTTATAAACCATTTTTACACAAAAGATTTTTGTAAACGAAAACTGAAATTTGCATGAACTGACCCTAAAAGGGTTTCATCGCTAAGCTGGGTGCATCCTTCCATCATAGACTGAGAAAATCCCATGAGAGGAAGCTTTTTCTGTAAGAGATACTCAAGGTTAAATCACAAAAACACAAAGCATTCCATACCTTTGGATGCAAAAATACATGCATAGTAAACCCTAGCAGCCAATATGTAATCAGATTTAAAGTGGAACCTGACTCTCCCAAGCCACGTTCACACCAAAACACGGTGCGGAAAACCCATGATCTGTGAGCATTTCCCACACCGCATTCAAAACCCATGGCAGTTGCAATCTGCAGCGGGTATCAATGTTAACACAACGACACCCCAAACATAGCTCACAAACAATCTCTGTCAGCACCGGATCACATAGTATAGAAGTACCATGCGATCCAGTTGCAGTAAGTTTCCAAAAGTAGTGCATGCACTACATTTGGTGCGGTGCAGTGCGATTTGAGCCTATTCTAAACGAACGGGCTCAAATCACATCGCACTGAAACGCATGTGAATTGTACAGGAATTATGCAATTCCTAGTGTGAGCTGGCCCGCACTCAAAATTGATGAATTGTAATCCCTATGCTGCTAGCATTATTAAATTGATGGGAAAGTATATCATGTTTACTTACTTTAAACTTTATTACATTTCTTTAGTTACTTCATGGTTTCCAGGCTTAAGCAAATGATGTCATACATCCCGGGAGTCTTCAGGAGGGGAGGAGGGGATTTCCCAGCTAAGCACACCCGCCTGTCTACCTGAGCTATGTGCAGATGGATCCCAGGAAATAAATGCTACATGAAACATCTCCTTTTATTCAAGATGGTCACAGGCAGATGGGCTAGGGAGGTATTTGTCAAAGTGATTTCTCAGGAAAATAAAGCATGGACACACAGATGGATGGGGGAGTTTGCTATGAAATTTAAAAAATGAATTACATTTTTTACAATTGGTTTGTGGTGCTCAGATGCAGTTTAGTTCCGCTTAAAGGACCCAAAAGGGGAAGTTCCGCTTTAAGGACTGCTCCCCTGCTCCCTGTTAAGGATTGGCACCTTCGGGGGGCAGGAGGGGGGGGGGGGGAGCAGGTACCCGAATTTGACAGGTACCCGCTCCCACTTCCAGTCCGATTGCCTAGGTGATCGGAAATGGAAGGTGTGTCCTCCCTCCCTCCCTGCAGTCTTTTGGGACACGTGACAGGTCCCAGAAGACTACAGGACCATTCATAAGCGCAGCGCTACTTGCGCATGCACAGTGGGTACCCGGCTGTGAAGCCGCAAGCTATCAGTCGGGTGCCCACACTGAAGATGCCGGCCTCCTGGAATAGAGGACGGTCAGTGAAACGGGCTGCGGGGGACACACCACGGGACCGAGGGACAGGTGAGTGGCTGTTTTTTAAAAAGTCAGCAGCTACAGTTTTTGTAGCTGCTGACTTATTTTTCGACAGGGTGAGTGGAACTCTGCTTTAAAATAGTCTTTTGTAGTCGGAATAAGCCTAAGTTCACATTTGTCCATCTGTGCTTTTCATGCACTTTTTATGTGTTTTCCTTAAAGCAGAGCTCCAGGCTCCCCCCAAAAAAATGAAAAGTCCGTAGCTACAAATACTGTAGCTGCTGACTTTTAATAAAAGGACACCTATCTGTCTAGGGATCCAGCACCTCACCTGGGCTAATTCTTCAATTTACTTTGGGTACAAGTGCCAGCATCTTCAGTAAGGCTAGGTTCACACCTATGTAGGTTGCATTTAAGCCGTTTCTGTATTGTGTTTTGAGTTGCATTTTGGCACCTATGTTTTTGACACGTTTTGGGGGGGGCTGTTTGTTCCCATTTTTTTTATGCTAGGCAGATTTAATGCAAAAATGTTTAAAATGCAAAACGGATCAAAAATGCATCAAAAATGTAGCAAAAACGCAATACATGCTTTTCTGCAGAGCTTCCATTGATGTCTATAGAACCAAAAACGTAACTTTTTGCATTCAAAAAAGTCCCTGACCTTTTCCAAAAAAACATACCAGGTGAAAACGCGCAGATGTGAACATGTCCATCATGAAATTATGTTAAAAGGACTGTACTGCATTTCTGCAGAAAACGCTTAGATGTGAACCTAGGGTAAGGGAAACCAGAAATGAAGCCTTGCACTTTTACAACCGGTTTCCTACTGTGCATGCGTGAAGCGTGCTGCGCTTTGTGAATGGTCCCGCAGTTTTCTGGGACCTGTGAAGTGTCCCAGAAATCTGCAGAAGGGGGGGGCAAATTTCTGGCTCAGATTGCTGCAGAGCATCTGACCAGAAGTGGGAGCGGCATTC